TTTTGTCACACACAGCCTCAAACATGTCAACACAGAATGTAAATCAAATGTAAATGTTATTTGTTATGTAATTATTTTAACATTATTTTTAAATTTAAATTATTTTTAAATTTTAACATTTGAATAATTATGTAATGTAAGCCAAATGTATATCAAAAATACTGATAACTATTAAAAAGCCCATAAATGCCTTTTACCCGTATTTTACTTTTGTAGCCTGTGATCCATTTATGACGTGTGTGTCAGTGTACCAAAAATGGTCATAGTTCATTTGTACATCTTTTTCTAACCTCGTTGTAACCCCTTTAGAATCAAACAGCCTGTCCCTTTAAGACTGATACATGTAAATACTTTGTTTTAATTCACTGTTCTGTATTGAAGCAGCCTTGGCTGAAACTCTCCTTATAACTCAGTGTGAGTGGGTGGAGCTAAACTGCTGTAAAAATGTTGGCACCCCTGGTAAACATGAGCAAAACAGGCTGCAAAAAACATTCTTTAATGTATGTATGTATTTACACAAATGCATCGGTGTTTGTGACATCACAAAAACACTGAATTCAAAATGGCTATTTTTACAACTTAGTATCCATATGCAGACCACATGGACAGGAGAATTAATGTATGTTTTAAAACGTTAACAGTGCTTATGTAGTACATCAAACTATATACTACTATGATATGGACTCTTTAATAACTATATAACTGTACCCAACAGTAACTAATAACAAGAAAAAAATTCACCCACGTCCACTTTTTAACCATACTTTACATATATTTACTTAATTCTGTCACTGATCCAGGTCTGGGCGTAAGAAAATTCTGGTAGCTGTGTGTGTGTTGAGTCTCATAATGGATGTATAGAGCCTGAAAATCAGCCCAATTCGCTCCTATTATGAAGACACAAAGGCTCAGCATGTCCAGCTCAGCAGTAAAGCCCAGCAGAGTGCTCGGCCCTGACCAGTCTCAAACACTCAGAAAGAACCCGTTTGGGAATTTTAGGGGAAAAAAAAAAGCACTATGGGAATTTCTATTTTCTACTATTGTGCTGTAAAACTATAACATCTCTTATATAAAAATAACAAAAAAGGGGTAAAATATCCCTGAAAACGTCTCATAATGGTCATCTATTTGCTTCTGTTACAGTTTAACCTTACTGTTCTCTGCTGAGATACAGAACCCACAGAGCATATGGATTATATCTGTGTTCTGCTCAAATACACAGTAGAACTCGTATTTTCCCATGGGGCTGTGCAGCGAAGCAGTGAATGATTTTCCACCTGGCCAACAAGCAGAATCACACAGTGGAACAGAGTCTAATGACCATGGAGAGTTTCTGGACTACTGACCTACAGTGAGTTTGTGTGAAATGCTGTGTGACTGAATAGGAAAATCCCTGAAAGAGGAGATTCCTCCTGTCACGCATCACTACAGCTGCAATAATTAATCAGCAACGGTCTTCACTATATTAGTAATCATTATTATGACTATTTTGATGACTGTGTAACCCTAGATTTCATATTATATTGTTTCAAGCAATAAAATGGACTAAACAAACCATAACATGCAAAGCCTTTCAAAAATTCCAAAATAGTTTCCTGGAAAAAGATAGAACTAAGTTGCTAGGGTGTCGCCAGGCGGTGCTATGGTAGTCCAGGTGGTTGCTAGGGTGTTGCTAGGTGGTTGCTACAGTGTCTCTGGTAGTTTCTAGGGTGTTGCTAGGTGGTTACAATTGTATTCAAGATGTTTGCCAAGTTGTTGCTAGTTGTTAGCTATGGTATTCCGGTGGTTGCCAAGATGATGCAAGGTGGTTGCTATGGTATCTTGTCTGGTACCCAAGATGGTTGCTACGATGTTGCTAAGAGGTTGCTAGGAGGTTGCCAGGGTGCTTCCAGGTGGTTGCGATGGAGCTCCAAGTGATGGCTAAGGTTTTGCTAAGTGATTGCTATGGTATCTCTGGTGGTTGCTAGGGTGTTTCCAGGTGGTGCTATGGAAGTCCAGGTGGTTGCTAAGGTGATGCTAGAGGGTTACTATGGAATTTCTGGTGATCGCTGAAGTGTTGCTAGGTGGTTGCTACGGTATCTCTGGTAGTTTCTAGGGGTTTGCAAGGTGGTTGCAATGGAACCCAAGGTGGTTGCTAAGTTGTTGCTAGTTGGTAGCTATGGTATTCCAGGTGGCAGCTAAGGTGATGCTAGGTGGCTTCTATGGTATCTCTGGTGGTTGCTAGGGTGTTGCTAGGTGGTTTCTATGGTATCTTTGGTAGTTTTTAGGATGTTGCTAGGTGGTTGCAATGATACCCAAGATGTTTGCTAAGTTGTTGCTAGTTGGTAGCTACGTTATTCGAGGTGGTTATCAAGGTGATGCTAGGTGGTTGGTATGGTATCTTTGGTGATAGCTAGGGTGATGTTAGATGGTTGCTCTGGTACCCAAGATGAATGCCACGCTGTTACTAGGCGGTTGCCAGGGTGTTGCCAGGTATCTGCAGTGGAGCTCCAGGTGATTGCAAGGGTTTCGCTAAGGGGTTGCTAGGGTGTTATTAGATGGCTACTCTGGCACCCAAGGAGGTTGCTTTGCTGATGCTAGAAGGTTGCTAGGGTGTTGCCAGGTGGTTGCAGTGGAACACCAAGTGATTGCTAAGGTTTGGTTTAGTGGATGCTATATTATCCCAAGTGGTTAATAGGGCTCCACCATTCCCAATCGGACCAAACATTCTGGACTTGGAACAGTGACCATATCTTGGCAGTATGAGTTTGAGTTCTATTTTTTATTTAAAAGGCTTTCTACAATGCTTTAGAATGTTCATATGATCCACAAGGCCATTCTGACAGACTGTAGTACAGCAGGTTACACACATACATGCATGTTCACACTTTGTTTACCACTTAATTTTTATTACTATGTGGCATCAAGTTGATTCCAACTCATTTGGATAGTGTTTTTCCAGAACAATGTTTCTTCTTGTTTATGACTCCTCTGATTGTCTCCATCCATCTTATTGTTGGCTGTCCTTTTCCTATTTTACCTTCAACTGTTCCAAGAATACTTGTCTTTTCCAATGAATGACTTCTTCATCCTTGCTCTGTGCCGATCTGTGTTGTATTTCTTGAACTGCTGGATCCTTTGCTGTTAATATTTGACTCAAGTAGACCAAAATCTGTCCACCACCACTACATCTTCACCACCGCTGGCAAGTTTACCACCTACATGATTTTTAAAGGCAGATTGTTTTTCTTTTTGCTAAATCAGCAACACATGCGATCAATTTAATCGGATCTACAGACGGCTGGTCTGTATTGGTATTCTAACAGCCCTGCGTGGTCAGAGGATTGCACTGGGGTCAATAGCTGAAGGCTGTAAAGTCCTGCTGCTCTGCGTCTGGCCTGCATGGTGAGTAACGATCAATGCGGAGCGTGAGGTGAAAGACTGTGGAGTTCCAGCCAGCAGGGGAGCATGGTGGAGAAAGAATCAACACTGAAGTCTCACAGACAGGCTGAGACGTGGTGAGTGATGATCCGTCTGACTCACTGATTCATTTATGCAATAATCAATAAAACTCTCTGACTAAAATGTTAAAAAACTCTAAAGTCATTCAAATAACCAATACATTTACCTTACTCATCACATGCTTCTGTACACCGCTTAAACACTGCTTCAGCTAGCAGTTTCTTGCAAACAATCTGATACATGGTCACTCCTTCATTCACTGACATTTGATCAAAATGAAAATTTTTCATTGTTAAGATGTTGGATAAAAAGATGATACATTCTCAGCACTCCTGCAATACTCATCACTCACAGATCAAACCATGTTCAGAGTTGCCAGATTGGACGAGATCCCCCAGATTAGCATGTTATCTGCTGATGTGAAAAAAACCTTATATTTACAAGACAGCAACTTGCTAGGAAAATGCCAAAAAAAAAATATATAATAAAATAAAATCCCCAAGTAATTTCAGACCATTTCTACTGTTCCATAAATTATGATATGTAAACTATTCGTACATGGCAGCTGTATTTTTGGTTAGGTTATCTATGGTTTTTAATTCAAATTAAGCTTAATTATAAAACATAAATAAGCAACTGAAAATAATTCACACAATATATACAAAAAATAAATAAGCAGTAATTACTAGCAGTAATAATAATCAATACTTTTTATATTTGATTATCAAAGTGAAATGTCTGTTGAGCATTCTACAATCCCTTCTTATCCTTTGCTTATTCTACAACCTATGTGTGTATCAATAAACCATGTGGTCAACCATTCAATCAAACCATTCACTGATTTATTAATTTTGTTCATTCTGAAATCAAGGATATTAATAGTGAGCTTGTCCCTCTTTGCTACAGTAACAGCCTCTACTCTTCTGGGAATGCTTTACACTTGATGTTGAACATTGATGTGAGGATTTGATTGAGCATGAGTGAGGTCAGGTACTGATGTTGGATGATCAGCTCTGGATCATTTCAACTCATCCCAAAGGTATTGGATGGAACTCCATCACTCCAGAGAACAAAGTTCCACTGCTCCACAGCCCAGTGCTGGGAGGCTTCATACCCCTCTAGCCCACGCTTGGCATCAGGCCTGGTGACAACAAGCTCATGTGTGGCTTATACAAGCTGTATCAACAATGAGTGACCTTGAAGTAGCTGAACTCACTCATTAAAAGGGCTGTCTGGATACTTTTGGACAGACTGTGTACATCAATTTTACCAGGCTCCTCCCCATCTCATCATTCTTTTCAATCTTTGCTTCAATTGCATTTATTTATTGGTTCTTAATATGAAGTACTGAAGTATTATTCAGTATCTACTATGAGACTAATGTGTAAGTATGTAGTTATAAGTGTGAGGAACTGAAGTGTGGATTCACATACAGACCCTTAAAGTATAAATTATTCAATTCAATCCTTTCAGGAGGTAATTATTTCATTCCCTCTTTTTCTATATTTCTTCAACCACTCATTCCACTTTATCTGAATTCCCCCTCCCTCTCCTCTTACCTCCCAGTGGCTGAAGACCAGCTGTGGACTGGCCAGGCCGCTTGTCCTCTTCCTCATCTCATCTGCGAACCCAAAGCTTTCGGCTACAGGCAGCACGGCTCGGATGATGAACATGTCCGTTCCCTCCTTCATCTCTTCATTCAGAACACGGCCCTCGCGTTTAGAGAGAACGCCATACACACGACCTAAACAAATACACACATCTCTGTAATATGAGGTCAGCAAGATTATCACTCTTAAAGCAGCAGTTCTGCCAAAAAACTATTTACTTTCATTTTATTTCCTTTCACACCCAAAATATAGTCAGCTATATTAGCTAACAAGTAATGAAAGTTTATATCCCAACAATTAGCACTGCGCTAACAGCAAGACGAAATCATCATACACTTGCCCTAAAGCATGTGGAGTTCAGTAATCTCTAACAGACCTGCTTTTGTGGATTCTGACACTGAATGACACACTGGGAACTATAAACATGGACAAAAGTACATTAGCAAGGCTATAAACAGTAGTAGCCATCTTTAGTTCATGTTTATAGATAACAGTGAGTCAGTGTCAGAAACTACATAATCAAGTCTATTAGAGATGCTGAACAACTCGACACACTTTGAGGCAAAACAAACTTTTATCACTTCCAGATTCAACACAGCAAAAGTCATCATAGCAAAATAGTGCAGTAGTGGTGATGTTTACAAATGAGAACGCAGAGGACTCACTCATTAACTTAATATTTACCTTTCCATAAAGATATTTATCTTCTTAATCTGTACTGCTTACCCATTCAGGGAATGTATTTGTAAAATACAGGTCGTACCCACCACCACTACTGTAATGTTTTCCCTACAATGAGTGCGCTTAATAATGCATAACATTATAATGCTTAATAACTCAGAGAAAAAATCAGATTTTGTCAGTAATCCGACCAACATGCTCTTGGGCATGTCTACATGCATCAGGCAGTAGTCAGATTTCTGCTTTGAAACCAGCCAATAAACTCACAGAATAAGACATGAAGTAAAAGTAATGTAAAACTGCACCACTTTACCACTTTAAATATGAACATGCATCATCTAGAAGATGAAGAATATTTAAATCCTTTATTTTGTCAAGCATGCAGTTGGTTTCAGTATCACTCTAAAAGTGTTTTGCTGTGTCTTGCTGCATCGCTGCTTGTTTATTTCCGGTTCCACCACTTGTTTTTGCACATGTGCAGACTGAGAAATCCAAAAGAAATCAGGGTAAGAGTTTAAATGCGCTGAGAAATCTGATTCCTGAGCTAAAATCCAGCTCTCTTTATTGGATTTCTTAATCGGATTTCTAGACCTTACTCCAATCTAAGAAATCAGAGTGCACTGTTTACATGACCATTTGAATAATCAGATAACTGCAGAAATCCGATTATGATTGGATTATTGAGTCATCATCGGTGTGTGCGATGCCCCCTAGGCTGCAGCCTATATAATCTATATGCGAAAGTTCAAACCACATGTTTTTTGATTTTGTAAGTGAAAATAATACATATATACAAATATATAAACATAAAATATAAAACATGCTATAACTTTTGCACAGGGCACATTTTATGTTATTTTTCCCAATATGTTAAATTCAGCAAATAATCAGCAATGTTGCATTAAAATGTGCAGAAGTGTTTTCTTTGTAGAAAATGTGTTAACCTATTAAAAAAAAATAATAATAAAAATGTACTTTGACCAGGGGTGCTTAAAGTTTTGCACACTGCTGTTTGGCTAATCCGGCCATCTGCAACCAGAAACACAGACACATGCACTACGAACACCATATCAGACTCAGAAAGGGATTCTTTTGCGTGTTCTCTCCCGGACATCCTCTTCCTTTCATAAACACACACCACCTAACATGTCCCCACACACACACACATTTACACACACTCTCACACACTTTTAGACATCAGCTGTGCTGAAAGAATATGTGGAAGTGACCAGGGAAGAGCTGGACGCTGTCTGTGTCTCACACACTGGCCCCAGAGACTAAAGTGTGCCAAAAGTGTTTAGCTTTAACATTAAAAGCTGCTGACAGACAGAGAGAGTGAGAGTGAGTGAGAGACGGGGGGTGGTGGGGGGGCTATCAATGCAATTGCTCCGTGCCCTCATCTTCCACCCCCTTCCATCCTTTAGACCCATCGCACTGTGGGCCTGTGGCACACAAGCCCACAGAATAATTTGTTACAGTGCGAAAAATATTAAAGCGATAGTTCAGCCCAATTAATACTGTTTCCCCTCTTTACCCCAAATGTGATAATATTCTACATGAGATCTTTGCAGCGGGCAGTGCAGCACAATACTGTTACAAATCCGCGATTATACTTTTTGTTGTTTTTCCACTGCCAAGTGAACCGTGCCAAACCTGAGTATCCCTGCTGAATTCAGTTACCCCTCTCATTCTCGCCAGAATGTATGAATGGAGCGAGAAACAGTGCAGATCACTGATTGGTCAAACATAATCGTCACAGAATGACTGCATAACAGCCCTTATTTATCAATTGTGCACAGTCAAATCTAATCATTAAATGTATGCACACAAATTTCATCAACAATAATTTAACAACCTGAAAACAAAGCTTGATTTGAGCTTCACTATTATTAAGTATTAATTATTATTTAGTATAGCTATATTTAATAACTGTATTTTACATGCACATTGGTATAAACAAATGCTGCAACCCGTCCATGTTCTATTAAACACATACTACTCTGTGATTTTGTTTCAGACCACAAAATAAACAATACAAAACACAGCTAGTGCAGAAGAATCTCATGCAATAATAAAGCATTTAAATATGTTGTTTTAGAAAAATAATTATAATACACAGTCCCATCATTCTTTTCCTTTTTTCACATTTTATTCTTTCCAGTCATTGTAATTTTAACACTATAAAGTCTGGTCAGTAGGGGGAGCAGTGCCCACACTGTGCTTCATACAAAGGAGGTGCTGGTAGGCTGGCGCTTGATTTCACGCACAGAAGCTGATTCACCATTTGAATTCAAATCTGTGCTCGTTTCCATTCTGTCTGAAAGCTTCATGAATCAGATGCAGAGCAGTTCATTCAAGGCCTTAAAATCTGCTCTTTTTTATGCAACTTTGATAAAGAAGGGTCAGCGTCACAGCAGCATTTAAACAACAACAACAACAAAAAAAACAGGTAATCAGAACTTGCTGCTGTTTGTGTTTACTGTTAACAACAGGTTTACGAGAGATGTTATGTGACCACATAAGCGAAAAAGAACGCCACCTACTTGGGCGAGGGAAAACGGACACAGGTACTTGACCAGGTTACGGACAGTTCTGTGTTTGGACATGAAATTTGGATTTTTCAACCCATTAGTTAGTTCTAAGCTATCTATTACACAATGCTACCACTGACTACGGATGGCTGTGGCAACACTGGGGAACTAGCAGTGTCCAGTGTAAAACCGAAAAAGCAAATTTAAGAACTCAAACATGACTTGGCTGATGGACTACATGTGGGGTAAGAAGGGAAACTGTGTAAATTCTTTTACGGCTAAACTGCCCAAATAAGCATGAAGCGGTCAAGATCAATAATCCAAGTGACAAATCTGACAATAATAACTCTGCATTCCTGGATTTGTAGGTGCAGAGACAAAAACCACTGAGAATATCTACCTCTGGACAAAGAAAATAAAATAAGATTAAATATAAATTAACAACTGCTTTTCTGAACACGTTGCGTTTACTGAAACAAAAGCTGACAGGGTCATATATGGATTCAGAATATTTTTGCAGATGAGGAGGGATAGAGAGGAAAATAATCTGCACCCCTTGTTGAATTATTCATCCACTCTCTCCCAGCCTGGAGAGGCTGACGTTTTCTCCCAGGGTCCTCCTGGAGCAGGATCCCTTTACTCCTTCAGCTGGCTCCTTTTTCACTCAGGCATGTTCACCAGACAATCCGGCTTTTGTTCGAGGACCCGGTGCTATGACATCACCTCCTCGAAACATGACTGCCCCACAGCAGCTTCCAATTATGGAACAGGGAAAACTATTTCCTTTGTGTGTGGTACAAGCATTTTTTGCCTAAAAGTAGCCTGGAAGCCTGGTTATGAAGGGTGGCTTAGAGGGGCTTGAAAATCTTTAAAGGAAAAGTTCAGCACAAAATCACATTTACACATTTCCCCCTTTACGCCAAATGTAGCTGATCAGCTAAAAGACTCATTTCTTTAGTTTTGCACTGGACAAAAAATTAACAAAATGAGTACACAAGCACTCTGTTAACTGTTCAGGTGCCAATATTCACACACTGAGTGCATTTACATGCACTTAATAATCTGATCATAATCAGTTTTCTGCAGTTATCTGATTATTCAAATGGTCATGTAAACAGCACACTGATTTCTTAGATCGGAGTACAATCTAGAAATTCAATTAAGAAAACTGATAAAGAGAGCTGGATTTTAGCTCAGTAATCAGATTTCTCAGTGCATGTAAACTCTTACTCTGATTTCTTTCAGATTTCTCAGTTTGCACATTTACGTTACGTTTAGGTCACGTCTTCTTCTGTGAGTTTATTGGCTGGCTGCAAAGCAGAAATCTGATTACTGTCTGACTCATGTACACCTGGAGTTTCACATTATCTGATTACTGAAGTGCATGTAAACGCACTGATCAGATTACTGACAAAATCTAATTTTCTGCAGTAATCAGAATATTAAGCGCATGTAAACACACTCATTGAAATCACTGTTTAGGTATTTTCAGCATTTCAATTTGGAAAGAAAATATACAGGTTAGCAATTCAATGAAATGCCAATTTTAGGTTTTGACAGGGCTGTAAAAATGGACTGTTTTGCTCATATTTAAGTAAGTAAGTAAGCATATTATACTTTGTTAATATGAAACACATTAATGTGCGCATGTTGCTAATGATGTGTTATTAGGGACATGACAGAAAACATAAAACAGCCAAAAAAACCCTGATAACACATTATGTGATCACGTCAAACAACTTTTAACCAAGAAAATAAAACAAAAGATGGTTTATTAGCCAATTAAAAAGAAGGCTGCCGGCTTTAATGGACTCAAGGTTGGTAGTTTTTCATTTTGTCAGTTTTTCTGAGCCAAAAGGAGTTTCTCAAAGCTAACTGCTAGACAGCTAACGCTAACAGCTGTCTGAACGGCTGCTTGTTTCACCATTTATTCTTCTTTGTTAATCTGCTGTTATTGTATCTACATAGTGAGATTCATTTTCTCCTCTCTTGGTGTTCTAATTTTACACAGAGTTAAGATTTATTTGGGATCCAAAGAGTGAAAATCTGAGACACTCTCCACAGTGAACTTGCAGCACTTCCAGGACAGAATGAGGAATTTTCATTAAAGTCATAGGCTACTTAAACATTAATTTTCCAAGGTTTAACTCTCACACAACAGATTAATTACTCAAATACATAGTAAAGATCCCATGACCGCTATATAGATAGAAAAAAAACTGAAAACATTTCCAAAGACAATAATATAAACATTGCATCTTACGGATGACTTTATATCAAGAACAATTTGTTGTATCAAAAAGTACAAGCTATTAAAAAATAACTGGATAACTAGCGGAGCAATGGAATAAGTTGCATGCAACTTCCTTTTGAATTGCAAGTTGTAAGGAAATTATGTTGTAGACAACTCACAGCATGTAACTAGTTGCATGAAAGTTTCACTGTATAAAAACAAGTTTTAGTTACTATCCCTTTAAGAATGACACATGTAAATGAGCTCTGTTTTGCTTGCTCTGTATTGTTCCTTATTGAAAAAGAAGTCTGGGCTGAAATGCTCCTTATAACTTCAGTGTGAACAAGCAGGACTAAACTGTTGGAGAAATATGGTGTGACCATTGCTTAAAAAACTGATTCCCTAAAAATTTTCTTCAAAAATCAGTTAACTTATTGACCATGCCTTCTGCTTACCTAAGACATCAGCAGTGGCCATTATCTCGCAGGTGTACATGGCAGCCATCAGCCGCTGTGGTTTGGCCTGGAAGGCATATCTGCAGGCTTCCTTCATGGCTGCGATGAGCTGACCAGAGAACGGTCCATAGCAGTCAGTTGTGTCTCCTTTCCGTCTGCTCTGACTGCTTCCAGATGACGGAGTGTCTTCTACTGCATTCGCTCCTCCAAGTTCAGATTCTCCACTTGCTGGGGCTGCATGGTATGGACAAAATAGCATACCGTGATTGCAATTCCACATACTGTGACTGCAATACGCTTGGTACTAAATATACTCTAAAATACTGCTCTTCACAGAAACAAACTTCTGACATGCATGTACAACTTTGACCAAAAAAATGCATTTTGATTCTGGACTGTGCAAAAGTCTTTATTCATCAACACTTGCAGAAAATAGCTTATTAAGTTAGCTTGAAAAAGCCATCTTACTGTTCTTTGTTTTTTTTCTTATTACTGGTCTATGGTCAAACTTTGCTCGACTGTAGAGCCTATACTGGAATAGGCCGCTTGTGCTTTTTTAAAAATAATTCTCATAGTACAACATAGCAACAACCAGGAACCTAAAGTTCGTTCAAGAAATTTGTCTCTCTAGTTAATTTAGTAATTCATTAACTTTTTTATTTTTTCATTTACAAATTCAACTACAAACGTATTATCAGTCCCATCTACACCTACATTTTTCATTCCTGCCTTTGTTCCTCTCTCAACTGTAAATATCCTGAGGCTAGTCAAAATGCACAGAGCACTTGGTAAAAAAAAAAAAAAAGTAAAGATTTGTGAAAACAATTAACAAAATGATAGATTGTGCAGCCCTACCACTCGCACTGTTGTCTGCCTCCAAAGCCTGCTGGGAAACAGAGTCCTCCTCCACAGAGTCCTGTTGGGTTAATTGAGAGGAAAACTTAATCTCCCAGCTCTCCACTGAGAAGCAGACGCCCATCAGAGGCTCCTCGCACATCGGGCCAGAAAGCGTAGCTAGCTGGAAACCACTAACGATGCTGTTGTCAAAGTCTCGAAGCATGACGGCCTCTGATTTCTCCTTCTCTCGCTCCAAGCACTGCCACACTGATGGCCTCTTGTATCCTTCCACATTGTTCAGGAGAATATTTGGCCCACAGCGGCGCGGCCCGAAAGCCCAAATCCGCTCCACGGCGTTCCTCCACTTGCGACCCTGCAGGAGACCCTCTAGCTTAGACCTGAAGCCCTGGATCTCCTCCAGCGTCTTCTGGCTGATCTCCAGGGTCTTTCCTTCTCGAGCAAACAGACTGAACTGCTCCATCGTCCGGATCAGCTCAGAGTTCCCCTCCAGCAGCCTGGTCACTTCCTCTGGAAGCGGAATGGCCCGAATTCCAACTGTGGCCATTTTGTTTGGAGTTGTGAGGGTGACCAGGCCAGTAGAATCCACCTGGACTCCCTCAGGGTACTTTGACTGCTCATCTTTGGCCTGGTGGATAACTGCCACCTTCTGCTGCCGGCCCAGTTCCTCATTCACCATGTCCACTTTGGGTGGTCGGATGACTGTCTCACGGAATGGAATGATAGGCTTGGAGGCGCTGATCTCGATTTTGGCAAATCTGAAGAAAATGCAGAGGGATGAAGCAGTTACCAATCAGGGAGTCAAACTTAACAAACCTCTTCGTTACAGCATTTAAGACTGCAACCAACAATTAATTCTACAAGCAACTATCAACTATTATCGATTAATGAACAAAATGAATTCATTGGTTTAGCAAATTTGAGGAGAAAATTCGGAGACAGTAGCTACTATTAAGGAACTTTAAAATAATAAAAAAACTCTTCATTATGGCATACAGGGGTGTGGCTAACAATTATTTCTGTAATCAATTAATTTATTGACAATCAATTAAGTGACTATTGCAATTATTATGGCTTGGTTCTGCAAATCTGAGGAGAAAATCAGGGAACATGACAGGCTCTATACCAGAACCACCAATCAAGGAATCAAAAGACAACAAACCTCTTCATTTATAGCATTTAGTCCAGCAACTAAATTATTTCTACAAGAATAAACTCAACATTGATTCGTTTAATTGACTAAATAATTATGACTCTTTTAGTTTAGCAAATTTGAGGAGGAAAAAATTGGGAAATGCAGACACAGATTAAATATATACAAATCATGGAATTAGAAACAACAATTGTCTTTATTATGGCATTTAGGGCTGTAATTCAATTATTTATACAAAAATGAACTCAACTATTATTCGATTAATCGATTAATTATTATGCCTCTTCTGGTTAAGCAAATTTGAGAAAAAATTGGGAAATGCAGACACAGATGAAGTTTATACAAATCAGGTAACTAGAAACAACAAACTTCTTTATTATGGAATTTAGGGCTCCAACTAAATTATTTCTAGGAGCAATTAACTAAACTATTATTTGATTAATCGACTAATTAATTACGTCTCCTTTCGTTTAGCAAATCTGAGGAGAGCTGTGAAATGCAGACAGATGAAGTATATACCAATTAGGAGATAAAAAATAATAAGCTTCATTATGCAGCTAAGGACTAATTTATAATCACTTAATCTATCAAAGATTATCCAATCAATTGACTACTGCAATGATTACTCCTTGGGACAATATGGAAGAGCTATCTACCAATCAGAGAATTAGAAGTACTGTAGCATTACTGGCTCTAAATAATGATTATTTCTATATTCTACTGATGTATTGACTATTATTTGATTACTGGCTAATCTATTATGCTTTCATTGGTTTCTCTCTCTTCAATATCAGAATCAATCTTACAATTGATTTCTTCTTTTACAATGCAATGACAACAGCAGACGTCACACTGCCCCCTACTCTTCCTGCAGAGTATTGCAACGTCAGAGAACATGAATCACACGTATCTACGCCTAAAGCACTGCTGTGAGTTTGCCTCTCTAGCAATCTAGAAAGTTTTAATTTATTGGTAGCCAGTTTGTGTAGCGCCATTTTTGCTTTTTTCTTTTGTAACCTATGCTGACTTTTTCAGAAGATGAGCGTGAGACCTGCACAAAAAAGCAAAACTTACCTCCTCCATGCAGAGCAGGAGCAGGACTTTTACAATGTCAAACTCCAAATGCATCTGTTTGATTTGCCAATTAGCCATCGCACTTCCAAAGGGGAATGTCGAGAGGCATTTTCCAACTATGTACAGAAACTACGACAACAAATTCCTGAGTAAAAGTGAATTCAGGAAGAAAAAAGTGGTCCAGACCACACAAACTGGCAGTGGAAAGCATCAGAATAAGGTTAGTGTAATTTTTAGTCATTTGCCCTGTAATGCTGAATATAAATATAGGCCCCTGAAGCGCATTAAAAAAAGTTTTGAAGCCTTTAAAAAAGGATGAGGCCAGCTTTTTTTTAGATCACGACGACCTGTCAACTGGAGAAAGTAGATCTCAAACCACAAAAGTATGGGCACCCGTGGTTAAGAGCATTAAAGAACAGTAAGTTCCTACAACATAATCTGAGCTGGGTTTACCAAAAGTGTCTTAGCACAGATTGTTTCTTAATGGTGAAGCAGGAATCGCATTAAAAATTCTCTTTACGAGTTACGACTGGAACAAAACCACATACTGAAAAAGCTGAGCTGAACCTGATATTGTGGTCATTTTATATGGCAGAAGGAAGTGCCAACATTAATGCACAAATGATCTAATATTTGGCGCTTGTTTGCTTCACTTTTTATTCATTTTGCTGAACTGCTATTTAAAACTGCAACTGAACACTCGAGGTCATGTGTTATCACAAATAACATCATGGCTGTGATGATCTGCTTACACCTGCAGCTGAAATATAGCTGCTACTTGCAGTAACACACTCCCTCTCCTGTTTTACTCCTTAAATGTAGTGCATTGTTTTAAACTATGCACCAACAATAAAAATCCGAGCTGCCGTGATGGTGTTATTTCAAAAAACTGAAGCATTAAAAAAAAGCCTCTGTTTATTTTACAAAGCAACGAGGAGGAACCTTGAAAGAAAGGTTACTGCCCGGCACAGAGGGCTGGACTTCAGTCAACTGTAATGTCTAAGCTCGGGTTTCTTCAGCGAGTGATGATGTCGTAGCAAAAGCTAATTTACAACAAACTATTCAGGCTGAAAATATTCAAACACTCATTCATCTCTATCTCTTTCTGAGTAGACATAAATTACACACACCCCCGCCGGCTGATATAGTAAATAGTTCTGTCACAGTGCATGACATCAGGAGTGGAAACGCACAGATTCATGTATGTAGTATGTATGAATATGTTTGCACAGTGAGGTAATCCTTCAGCTTTCTTTGGTCCACCATGGTGTGTATGCCTTACTTTTTGTTTAATAATTTGTTTCATAGCTCACAGACAAATGGAGAAATAGTGTGGGAAGTGTAGATTTTAACATTTCAATCCATACCACAGTGTTTGAAAGCAGAAGAGGAGATATTTTATTATGATCTGAAGTTACTGTTGGGTACAGCCTTGTAAAAACAGGAAAAAAATAGGGATGCCTAATGAAATTGAAGTCATATCAATATCGCCAGATAGAAATGATCGGCATCGGACAGATGTTTGGATTTACTGGCTTTAGAAAGCCAATTTACTGCTTTTCACTATCTTCAGCTATTATTATTCTACAGTCAGTATATACAAATAGGCTGCTTGCGCTTTTTTTGACAGATTCAGCTTTTTCCATAGGAAAAATAGGGAAATTGGGGAATGTTCAACATGCTGAAATTCCACTTAGATAATACATAAATAATATGTAACACTTGCATGTCTAATGTTTGTGATAGCAACTGATTAGCTTCACAACAGCCAGCGTAGTGACAGTTTGCCAGCCCACTACCGACCTAACGTTAGCTACATTACTTGCTGTGCTGTTGTTCGCTCTAACATTAGATCATGGTATTTGTGTGTACAACGTTTGTGAAGAGTTTTATGGCCACTAAAAAGGCGTGATGGCCTTAACAGTGCGCGTCCACAAATTTTGGGGGCAGAGCTTCTGAAGAGGCACTGAAGGGAGGGGTGTGTTTGTTTTAATGTTGAGTTCAAATATCAACAATCGTTCTAAAGGATTGTATAGTTCTCCTTTGAAATAAAAATAAATACATAAATAAATAAAACCTAGATTAACAAATCCTCAACTAGGCCTAAACTCTGTGTAATTTCATCCTTATTGGTGCTGCCCACCCCGAGGGTAAATGTAGAGCATCATGCCAGATTAACAGACTGTGATCTGTAATAAAGACAACACAAACAGTGTTGGCTGAAGTGTCGAGGTCACCTCGACACCCAGTTAGGCCCGTCCTTGCCGCAATAAAGCTGACAGTTGGTCAGCCTAGTGGCTAATTGGGCATCCTCAAGTGGAGCAGACGGCTTGACAATGATTGCCATCCTTCCTCGAGACGGCAACACGGAGCCTTTCCAGTAATCCAGTTAGATCCAGACAGCGGTGGAGCAGGTTGGAGAGGAGATAATCCTGCAGAGACTGTTTACTAGAAACTTGCAGCAAGAGAGAAGAAGGAGAAGCAGAGGAGATGGGAGCTGTCTGGAGGCACTGCTGACAGCGCTGTGGATTAGCATTTCACACAGACGTCTTTTTTTCTGTCGCTCACTCTCTCTCTCTCTCTCTCTCTCTCTCTCTCGGCCCGCTGCCATCTCCACCTCATTATTTTTCATAGACTCAGCCAATTTCTCCCCCTTTCTTATTAATGGTTATCACAGACAGCCAAACGTCTCTTTAGCTGTGTTTTCTAACCACTTTTTTTATTTCAGAAGAAATATTTGTTTTTCTGTCTGTCTGTGTGCTCTCGGCTTTGTGCATCATCAGCAGCGGCCTAAACTGTCGGAACGCAGCATCATTACGCCTCATTACAGCTGCACGATATGGACATAAAGAGTGATGTGCAATAAAGCTGCTGTTTTCTGTGATGTGATATTGTGTGAAATGTGATAATGGATTGAAATTCCTTTTTTTTTGGTGTGTAATTTAACTACAATTATTTAAACTATTTTGTTCATTCAACAGCATATGCAGGGTTATGAAAAAGTCTGGGCACCCTGGTCAAATTCCAGATTTTGTTGATTTTCTAGCAAATAACTGAACATGTTCTCTACTGAGAACACACTTCTGCACATTTTAATACACAGTTACTGTTTGTCTGCTGAATCTAACATAAAACATAAATGTGTCCTGTACAAAAGTTACAGCACATTTTATATTTTATGCTTATTTTATATTACATTTATGCCATATTTTGTTGGGCGTGTTAACTTATTTTTACTTAGAAAATCAACAAAAACGTGGAATTTGGTAAACTGCATACAGTCCTGTGCAAAAGTCAGAACCAAATCTGTGTTTTTCTAACTGTGTTCATGATAACAGCACATTCCTTAATTAACATATTGTGTTATTATGTATATCAGTACTTGTAGATCACTGACCACCTGCCTGTTTTATTATAAAGAGCGCAAAATTAGTGCTGTTTAACTGGCCTGAGCGCATACAGTATGACAAATATTTTAAAAAAAATGCATTCACTGTTTTTAATATTATTTTTATGTAGCATTACTGTTTT